CAGCCGTTTGAGGCGAGGGTGTATATTTCGGCGGCGTCATCAGAATAGATGGAGAGATCCCTTTTCCTTGTCCAGGCTTGAGTCTCGCTAGATTAGACTGGGAACTTCTTTACCGGTTATTTCACTATCCATAGACAGTGTTGATCCAACTACCGTGGGTTCTGGATATGTCTACCGAGTATACAGCAGTCCCTCGCTCTCTCCAAATGCCGTCAAGCTTTCTGGTCCAGCAGAATTTGTAATGACATGACCAAATCCCGCCATGCCTTGGCAACATCCTATTTTAGGAGCCCTAGCGTCTTTTGAGAAGATTATTGTCGGGAAACGTCCGAAAAGCGCGATTAGTTAGTCCCTCCCACTTCCTACAAGGAGGTATTAGCCTTACCCAAATGTATCGGAACAAGCCCGACAACCTACCTATCCTCGACGGTCAACAGGACAAGTCACCGCGAACACGGGATTAACAGGACAATTGATAACAACACGAACATGTGGAATGATGTTTCTTACAGAATCGGGCATGGACGGGTGATGAAAGCTTTCGCATCTGAGGCCAGGCCAGCAGAATTGACTGCTCCGTGCTGCTGCTCACCTTTGCTTCCACACCTACCATTGCAGTACTACATACTTACTCATTGGAGAGGAGATTTATTTCTGAGCCAGAGCCAAACCGAGTGACAACACAAATCCCTAGCTATGAGCACCCCGTCGTCCTCGCCCGAGATTTCGAGCCTGGACATCGTCGACCTGCGCGCACGCTATGCAACCCGCAAACTCTCGCCCGTCGACGTCGTGCGACACGTCTACGACAAGATATCCTCGTACCGCGAGCGCGACCCGGCCGTCTGGATATACCTGGTCCCTGAGGCCGAAGCGCTCCAGCGCGCAGAAGACCTGGTGAAGAGGTACTACACCGACGACGAGCCGCTGCCGGCGCTGTTCGGGATCCCCTTCTCGATCAAAGACTCGATCGACGTCGCGGGCGTGCCGACGACGCTGGCCTGTCCGAGCTTTGCGTACACGCCGACGGAGACGGCGCCGGTGGTTTCGAGGATCCTCGCCGCGGGGGGGATCCTGGTGGGCAAAACGAATCTCGACCAGTTCGCCACCGGTCTGGCCGGGGTGCGCTCCCCCTACGGCATCCCCCGCTGCGTCTTCGACGCCGAGTACATCTCGGGCGGGAGCTCGTCCGGGTCGGCCGTGAGCGTCGCGGCGTCCCTGGTCTCCTTCACCGTGTGTACGGACACCGGGGGCAGCACGAGGGTCCCCGCGGCGTTCAACGGGGTCGTCGGCCTCAAACCCACGCTGGGCACCATCAGTTCCGAAGGCCTGTTCCCCGCGTGCAAGAACATCGACTGCGTCTGCGTGATGGTACGGACGATGGAGGACGTCGAGGCCGCCTGGGCGGTGATGCGGGCGTACGACGAGCGTGACGTGTTCGCGCGTCGAGAGCTGCCGGTGTGGAACCCCTGGAAGAAGCCCATACGGGTCGCCACGCCGCCCGAAGACGTGTGGCGCGACGCCCTCTCGCCGACCTATGCTGCCCTGTTTCAGAACGTGGTCACAGCCCTGCTACGAACCCGAAGCGGCGAGTGGTGCGTCGAGGCCGACGGGTTCGACTACGGGCCCTTCGCCGCGGCGAATCAGATGCTGTACGACTCGTCGATCGTAGCGCAGCGACTGCTCGCGTTCGATCCATACGTCCAGTCGCACGGCCTTGAGGCCCTCCACCCGGCCATCAAGACCACGTTCGAGCAAGCCCTCAGCAACAACTTCAGCGCGGTGCGCGCGTACGACGACATCTTCACGCTGGCGGGGCACCGACGGCGCGCGGAGATCGAGTTTCGGGACCGCGTCGACGTGCTCGTCGTGCCCAGCACGGTGGACCACTTCACCGTGGCGCAGCTGGACGAGGAGCCCATGGCCCGCAACAAGGTCATGGGCCGCTTCACAAACTTTGTCAACCTGCTCGACTTGGCCGCCGTCAGCGTCCCCGCCGGCTGGTGGCGCAACCCCGCGGGGAGGAAAATGCCCTTTGGCGTCACTGTCATCGGTCAGGCCGGGAAGGACGAGGACCTCATGGCCTTTGGCAAGGAGCTCATGAGGGTCATGGCCCTGACGGGTGTTTGAAGCGTGGAAGCTGGCTAGCCACTCGGTCAGTCAGCCCGTCTGTCATTCAGTAAACACATAAGCGTTTTTGGGGCACGAATGGCTCCATGTCAACTCGGATCATGTATACAGCCCCTGACATGTTCGGATATGGGGGGAAAAGAAAGGTGGAGACTCGAGATTCATGTCGGCTGTTTTTAAACGCGGACAAATTAGGGAATAGCAGAGAATTTAACAGATAGAAAGAACTGGAACGTTGATCCTGCGATTCTTCTCGCCAAAAAAAAGGTTTCGTGGTACAAGCGTGTAGGTATATATGAGGATATATCAAGTAGGCCCAAACCAGGCCGCACAACCTCCGTCTCCAGCCAACATAGGCAGCCTCTGTTCATGTTCGTGGTGTTCAAAAACATGAATGTCCACCAGCCTCTCCACTTCTAGACCATGCCGTTCACGGGTTGAGCATCGACCTTGGTCTCGAACGCCCCTTTCTCACGACTCCCCGCGTTGCCGTCACTCTCACTTTGAACATCTTCACCCCTTGGAAGCATGCCAGTGGTGAGTTCCGGATCGAGGCCATCGATCAGATAGAGCTTGCCCAGATCTTCGTCGTTGGTTCGGACCGGGATCGGCCAGGCGGTGGTCAGGGCCAGGTACAACAGACCCGAAAACGTGACCACGAGGACATAGTTCCAGGAGTAAAGGTTTAGGATTCCTTTGTTGGTGACTTTGACGCCCATGGTCTGGACCATGCCAGGTAGCAAGGGTGCTAGGGCCACGAACCAGGCCACGAAAGCGCGCCAGTTGAATCCGTAGTTGTACCAGTATATCCCATGCGGCTTGAAGAGGTGGGAGATATTGATACCGTAGCCGCGACGCACCCAGAAGTAGTCGGTCATCATCACGCCCGTGGTGGCGCCCAGAAATAAGGTATAAGCACCCATAAAGGCTAGGAAGGTCGTCGCTTTAGCCTGGATCTGCCAGGGACAGATAGCAAACCCGACCACAGCGCAAATAAACTGTCCACGACGGATGTTGATGTATTTAGGAAAGAGGCCGGTAAGATCATTAGCGAAAGGGATCGAGTTTCCAGTGACGTTGGTCATAATGTTGAAGAAGACGAACAATATGCCGGCGAAGAACTTTCCTCCTCGCGCTTCAAAGTTGTTGATGGTGACGAGAGGGTTCCACTGGACCTCGCCGTAAACCACCGACGAGGCCACGGCCATGGTACATCCTAGCAGCTCTGTCAAGGTGACGAATACCGGGAGCGCAAAAAGCTGAGTCATCCAAGCGGCCTTGTCGCTCTTGGAGTGTCGAGAGATATCCATAATGTTGACGGCAAAAGTGGCATTCCCAGAGATGGCGGCGTTCACACAGATTCCGAAGAGGTACCCAACGGACATGCCATTAGTAGGGATACTCGGTTTCGTCCAGACCTTTGGCCAGCCACCTGCGGCGGTGATGGACCAGGTAAACAGAGCGGTCCAGTAGAGTGGCACCATGATGCTCTTCACCACGAACAAAAAGCGCAATGTTTTGATCGGTAGGTAGAGGAATGGCAGCGAGATGAGCCAAAAGATGACGAAGCAGAGGAGCTGCTGAGCGGTAATGTTGGCAGATGCTGGGAAGGCGTCGACCTCCCAATGGCGAAAGGAGGGCCAAATAGCCGTGATACATGCCTGAACCGCTTGACCAGCGAGACTCGTTTGAATACCATAGTAGATCAGGCAGGGTACAGCGCGAACGATCATGGCCCATTTAGAACCCCACATTCCGAAAGAAGCTCGAACGACGCCAGGGAAGTTCACCCCTAGTTTACTCCCAAGGTAGCCTGAGGCTGCGCATGGGATAGACACGATGATATTGCCTAGAAGGCAGGCGACGACACACAATCCTGGATTGAGCCCAAGAGAAAAGGCAGAGCTGGAGACCTGTAGCTGGGCGGCATTGAAGCCTTCGGCGATCCAGAAAAGACCCATCTGGTACCACTGGTATGTGCGGTCCTTGCGCTTGATGGGATCCATGTCTTCGTTGGTATAGATGATGGCATCGGCATCGTCGGCCCCAAAGGACCCAGGCTTTGGCTTCAACACCACATACTCTTCCCAGAAGTGCCGCAGGTCCATTGTGCTGGAGAGGTGTGATGTGGTGGGGGCAGCACTTGTCGAACTGAATAGAGGGTTATAAATTTCGATGGAGTTGAATCTCAAGGTGGATCAGTTCCAGGCCAGTCGCGAAGGTCTTCTTTTATATTCCCAGCCCGGCCATCGAAGGGTGTATACAATAACCTCACTCTTATAGAAGACATGCATCTGTCGGAACATCTCCGACGCCACAGAGATAGGGGACATAGGGCTGGAGCACGTTGACTGATGGTCATGGTCACCACGTCTGCAAATTGATAGTGATCGGGAGCTGCGTGGTGATAAGAGATGATTGATTTATCCAACAAGGGAGGGCAAGATGACTCTGGAAGTCTAACAGTGTCTGAAAGGGAAAGCTAGAAGAGATAAGAATCCCTAGCAAATCAGTGAGTTACGAAGCCACGGCCCAATCGCGGGATTTCTTGGGGCGGGATATGCTGACCTTGTTAGTAGTAGATTGTGGTCATGGTGGTGATGATAAAAGCGGGACTGAAGCTGTCGGGACATGTCCGAAACGCCCTGATACAATAAAGGGTTGAGAGATACAGCTCGTCTTTGTTGGATGAATGACCGTGTCTGTTCTATGCTCAGTACCCGTAGGTGCAGTCATAGACTTAGCAAAGACAGAAAAGTCTGAGAGTGAATGCAAAATCAACACACGTGATTTTCCTGCCTCTTCAAATGCTTACAAAACCCATGCAAAGCTGTACAATCCACATATCCTCGTCCCTCAAGAGACTGATGCTAGCAATGTTGGAAAAGCACCCCCCAGCCTTTAATCGACCTCGTGTCCACCTCTGCGATTCGACACATATCCCACAACACTGTCGCTATGGTATCCAACACAATGACACCAGCCTTGGCCTCCCATTTGTCCACCAAGTGCGCCGCCTTGAGTCCTGTGCAAAAGACACTGATGACACGAGCTCCTCTCTGTGTCAACTGCCAAAACCCATCATCGAGCGTTTTCTCCGAGATATAGGCAAACCCTGCGTTATCGGATTGGCGCAGATGGTACTCAACAGAGCAGTCGACTCCAAATCCGCGGTAGTTCTGTATTATGGCTGATTGCACATCATCCGTATATGGAGTCAACAGCCCCATCTCCGTGACTCCCAAGCGCTTGATAAGTCGATTAAGTCCAAGGACCGATGTGGTGGCGGGAATGCCGGTCGCGGCTGTAATCTCCTCGCATAGTTTCAAGTCTGCTTCGAAGCCTAACCATCCTGACGAGGTCCCGCTCCAGCCGATCACGTCAACTTTGGCGTCCGCAAGCAAGCGTGCAGCCTCGATGATGGCACTGTTGTCGAACTGTGCCAAAGCGTCGGGATCCAGGGCGATTTTCAACACCCGAAAGCGTGAGAAATGTACCGAGACATCCTCGAGTTGAGAGACGATTTGTTGTGTGAGAGGCTCCAGCACCGTATTAGAGGAAGGGACCAAGATGCCGAAGCAGATGCGTTTGGGGCTCTGCTTGATCATGGTCACTTTGTAAATGGGAATAACGGACGTGGAACTCCAAGAAGCTGGTTGAGTGAATGTCGTTACACGCGGTCACACCACAGGAGCTTGAGGGCCCAAATGATGATCTGGCGGCGGAGCCCAGGGATTTATCCAATTCAGACCCGTGGAGAGGGTTTCGACAATTCAAGAATCTGTAACGTAATGGAAGTGGTATTCTCTGCTTCGGAGTATGTCAAGGGATTGGAGCTGCCCAAGGGCCATCGATCTCCAGTCTCACTCGCATGGTTGCAAACATGCACAAAGGTAAAGATTCCAGAGGTACCCGATATACCATATTAAGCGTAAATGCGATAGGCAGTTGACCGAGCCTGGCGGGTCTGTGGATCTGGAGCTCTGTCCCGCGTTTCTAGACCTCGTTGTCGGGTCGGGACCGATCCGATTATACAGACGAAATGCCTCTTCGAAGCTCAAAGACTTGGTGGCGAGAGCGACGGCCACAACCTAGCCCCTTCCTCTTATCGGCTGCCGGCGATGGTAGACGAACTCCAGATGACTCAATAGATCTCTCATATCTGAGGGTGATGTGAGTGATCACAAGTTGGTATCGCTAGACGTAAGAGGTATGTGTCGGTACTGAGAAATGGTCTGACTGAGGAATATACGTAGCCTCGAGGGTGCAAAGAGCCCTTGCCTGGCCTGAACGGCGAGTTGCTGAGTAGCATGGCAGTCAGAAGCCCGTGCCCGTGCCTCCATTGAACCAACCCAAGCCTTCTTCCGTCAGAAAGGTTTCGATCTCTCTAAAATTGACTGGGTCGCACTCGAAATCACTGTCCTGAGTCTGCACAAACTCAGTCATCATCTGCCAGACGTCGAAGCCATCTTTTGTCCAAGAATCACTACTGGATTGCTCCATAGCATCAGAAGAGGTCGGTGGTGGCATCACACCGCTTAGGCCCGCGTCACCTGATGATCCCGAGTGAGATGTGGCATGGATGCCAACAGATCCCGTCTGCTGTTGACTGCTGGTATGTGAGCGCTTTGGGCGGAGGACATACTCTGCCGTCTTGCCCGCGACCAGCTCAAAGGCATCACGGTATTTCTTCGCCCCTTCCCCCCACTGTTCGGCGATCAAATACAGCACAGTTGAGCAAGCACCCAAGTCCGCCGCCATTTCAGCGTCGTAGAGGCTGGGGTCAGACCACGCGCAAAAGACTAGAGTGAAGCCAGCTACAAAGACTGAGTGCAGATCCAGTAGCGTGAAGGGCACAGATCGTATGCGGTGAAGTCGTCGATTAAGCTGGCAGACTTCACCAGATGATTTGGCAAAGGAAGCAAACGGGAATGGCTGGTTGAACAGCTGGACTTCGGTGAGAATGGTCTGAAGAAGCAGACGGCGAGCTCGGTGATAGTTGAGTAGTAGCGTCAGGCGCTGTGCTTCTGGCATGGCAAGCCGCGACACTGGTGTTTGAACAGGCGTCCTCACCGTGGAAAACATCAGATCTGTGGTTTCATCAACTCCAGAGTGTCCAAAGATGGCCGTTTTCCAGTCCTCAAGTTCTTGGAATCGCTTTGCAATCTTTTGCTCGAACTTTGTCCCACGTTCTGCCTTGGCGAGACGTGAGAGCGCAAGACGACTTTTCGCGTTGATCTGATCTAAGCGGATGTTGTGGACGTGGAATATAATGTCAGTTCTCGGGCCTGTACGAGGGCCTCGTGGCCGACTGTTTTCGTTCCACGCCGTGGTTTCGCGGCCGCTCTCTGGAAGCTCGGAGGGGTCTTGGAAATGGTCGTCCTCGATCTCTCTGGGTAACGGGGTGTCGATTTCATCATCAGCTATAGTCAACGGCCTGCCCAGAACTAGGACGATTCTGCGCTCGAGGTGGTAGATGCTATAGAAGAGTCTCCGTTTGAATTCGTCAGAGCTTGCTGTGCTAATATCTTTTCTTAGTTGCCGGTGGAGTCCCAGTTCGACACATTGCCTGATCATCAAACCGCACAAGTGCCATATGCTAGACCCTACTGAAATGGTTAGTAGGCCGGTCGACAAAGCGGTCTTCGAAGCTGGAATCCAGGTCCGTTTTGAATTGGAAGAGAACACAAGACATCAGATAAAGGAAAATGATCGAATGTGCCAAAAGGGATAGAGCGAACACGAACCTGAAGGGGAACGCAATGCATAGACGGCCACCAGCAGGATGACCTGGATATTCTGAACACTTGGAACGTTAAGTTGGTCTTGTGTCTTTGCCATGGCTGAATGATAAAGGTTTTCCGGCTCTGATTCCGCAACGTGCTCTGATCCTACCAACTTTAAACAACGAGACCCTATTGCATACACCAACAGCAATACCACATGGTCATGACGAGCTTCATTAGAATTATAGTCCTCCAACTCACGGCGATTATGATGAGTCTTCCACAGTTGTTCTTTGGAAAGAAACGGGAAATTAGGGTGAATATAAGATAAGTAGGCGATCAGGAAAGGTGTCGCCTTCTCCAACGGTGGTAAAGGAGCTGTGCCTATTGGGGGACCAGTCTGGCTATTGCTCGCGAATGGACTTGTAACGGGCTCTGCAGGCAAACTCAAACTGGAAAGGGGTCGTGATTTCTCGTAGACGGCTGACTCAATCATCAAGGCTAAAGACACTCCAGACGAGACGCCGAAGTAATGAGGTTCGGCCGCTGCCTGTAGAGACAACAATCCGACACTGCTGGCCAAGTTTGGAGTACTGGCTTGGGAAGCCATTCGCTCGTCTGAGCTTGGTGCTGCGTCATTGTTGTCGCTGATGGAGATATGCTCGCCTGGTTGACTCGGCCGCAAGGAGTCCAGCTGTGCCTCCAGCCATGCCACCCGACTTTGTAGTTCCTTGACGTAGGATGCCGGATATTCATTTTCAGGGAAGACACAGGTCAATTTCGCTCTAGCGCAATTCGAACAGGCCGGTAATTTGTTGTCACACTAGACGACATTAATCAGGGTGTTCCTCATTCTTGGGGAACTATACCTTTTGCCGTCTTGTTTTGCATCTCAGACATGCAACCGCAACTCGAGGACGCTTGTTGGGCCTCTGAAAACCTGGCTCGGAAGGTGTTTCTGGTGGCATAGAGCCGTTGTCGTGCCCACTCATCTGGACATCAAATTTATGTGAGCTGATGACAACGCAAGACGGGAGACTGGATTCTCAGAGGTGGTATTTGCGGCGGGAGTGTCAAAGTTGACCTGCGCATATTCTGTTTGGGGGAACCACCATCAAGATGTTTGTCAAAAGGGATCAACCATCGTCCGAGATGTCTTAAGATGGAGTAGCAGCCTTATCGTCTGCCAAGCTGCTCCTTATCTTCAGCCTCGCGATAATAGACACGCTAGCTCATTTTGCAAAGAAGCATGCCGCTCTAAAAATAAGGAGACGGGGCAGATGGATGTCGAAAAAGCGGCGTGATAGTGTTTGTCGAAGCAATGGTCAAGAGACAATGTGTCCATTCAATACCCCGTAGGAGATTCAAAGTAAACTCGAGGTCATAGCCCTTTACTCTCGGTCTGCATTGCTCGGGCTTGACTCCTCGCCTGCCAACATGTCTTCGTCTCCTCCACAGAAAGTGTCTCTCTACTCGGCCAATGGTACGGTGGTGACTTCTTTTGTACCCGCATTGCTCGCCTGGTCTCACTAAATGGAAATGCAGATCTCAAAAACGCAACCGACGATGCCCTTGCACCATACCTCACCACGCTCCCCAAACCCTACGCCTTCAAACAAGAACACTACATGACAAATGTAAAACTTGCGCTGGGGTACACAGCCGTTCTGATCGCCGGAGTACTGTTCTATGCGGATTGGAAACTTGGGTGGGACGCGACGAAGGCGTACACAGGACCTGCATGTGTCGCGTATTTTGTACTGAACAGTGCATTGACATTCTGGATCTGGACGGTGGAGGCAGGGACAGTGTTCGTGGGTGTCAGGGAGGGAGGGCAAAAGGTTTGTTACCACTGGACCTGCTGCGTTTCTTCTTCTGTCGTGTAAGCGAGTTGCAGACTGACGCAGGACATCATTTAGCTCACGCTCCGCTCATCCGCTCAGAAGTACTCCCCTGTCTACAAACTCAAAGTCACCTACTCTGCGCCCTCGACTGGCAAGAAATGGGAAGACAAGGAGATCACCGGAAACTACACAGAGTGGTTTAACATACATGGCTATCTGGACCGCAAGGCTCTCCAGGCATGGTTGAACGCCAACATCGATGTGTTGAGGAATGTACAGGAGGAAATGGCCAAGAAGGACAAGACTGACAGGATTCCCGTCATGATGCCCGCGGTACAGGCCGACCAAACGACACTCACGTCCGGTGCGGAGACAAGCCCAGCGCCTGCGAGCGCGAAGAAGGGACGGTCGAAGAAAAAGGCTTAAACACTATCGAGAGACTAGTTCAGTCACAAGAAACTATGTTCTCCCGCCATTCCGACAGACTTTCCTCTCCCACCATGTAGTCGAACTTGATTAGCGAGGGATGGGCAGGAACTCGAACACAAAAGCTCGGACAACAAATCGCTATCGCGACCACGCATCCTTATGTGATTCTCGAGCGGAGAGACATGGGCTGCCCTGGGAGTCTGTACTTACGGTGCCACCGATTCACGGTACCAATACGGAACCTTCGACCCGAGTGCCATTTCTCAACCCGCATTCAAAGATATCCTCCACGTCAGCCTGGACTATACCTGACTCTCTGACGACTTATCTATCGCGGCAACCCGAGCCTGCTATCAACCGATCAAATGGTCTCTATCGAGCTAAGACCGTACAAGTACAAGAAAGAACTTTTGCCCAACTTGAACCAAGTCACCGACAAGCACTACTGCGCGCCCTCGTGCGAATCTCCCCGACCATTCAGGATGGTCGCACGCAATGGAGGGGATCCCGACAAAGGACCGAACCTGGATGTAAACGGCGTGAGCTTACATTGTTGCGGGATTTAAAGCGTGCTGTGCTGGGCTATAGAGCTATCTACTCGTATATCTGTAGAACGCTCCGATACTTTTCCAGCATGGTCAAGCCCAACCAATGCCGGGTCGTCCATGCGGACCAGGCTCTTACGCACTTCCTTGTATTGTATTCAAGTTGGAAGACAAAACAAAATAAAAGTCCGCCTTCTTTCTATACCATACCATACCATACCATAACTACCTAGCTTGTGCTAGTATCTTCGTAGATATTCACAGTACCTGTACTGCGGCTCATCCTCATCCTTATCTTCATAAACGGCAAACATGAAACAGATTCGCGCTAGACATTGGGGAAAACGTATTTCGTCTCTTCGAACATCATTCCATTTTTCCCTCCCCGAGCCGGTTTGGGGGAGATTTGCTAAAATACCAAGTGCACAAACTCGAATGCTCGCGCCCCACGTATCATTTGGCTTCTGATTGCTCCTCGATGCCTGCAAACTCAACCTTGGGAATTTCAAATCCGTCGTTTCTGTTCTATGGTGCAACGCCCTCGCTGCCTCCAGACTTGGTTCGGGTTCCGCGCCCCTTGACCCTACCTCTCCGACCACATGGCATTTGGTTCAAGCGTTGGATTGTTTAGGAGAGTGCACCAATGACACCCTGTGCAAGACCGCCCCCTGTCTCATCAGTCCTTACACTGACCTTCACAGTAACCCCAGTCTTGGCCGAATGCACCATCTTCACCAGCGCTGCCACTCGCCCACCAGTGACAGACTTGCCGTACAATTTCAAGGTATGGCTTGTGTTGGATAGAACCACGTCGGTGCCGTCGAGGGGTTGCAGAGAAAGAGCTTGCGAGAGCTGTTCCGTTGCGTCTGCAGAGCGATGCAGGTTAGCACTAAAAACAACACAACATATGAGGTTGCAGGGAGCGGTCGTATACTTACCGGCCAATGTCTTGACATTTCCCAACACCAACGTCTCGCTAACTTCCTCTCCATTCGCGCCCGTACCCTCCCAAATGTGATCGAAATTGCCCGCGAATGCGGGACTGACGAAATCCGCGCCTGTCAATTCCAAATTCTCGACTTCGTATTCATCTTCATAGCCTCCTTCTTCGGCTTCGCCCGTTGTGGGATCGATTTCCTTGCTCGTAAATTTGAGGACGTTCGTGAATGTGGTAACTGGGAAGGCAGATTCGCCACCTAGTTTGTGGAACGCAACATAAACAACTCCCGGTTCGTTGGTTTTCAGAGCATTGGCAGGAATTATGAATTCTTCTTCCAAGGTAGGTTCGTCTTCGTCGGCAGGTGACGCTAGGACAGTCACGTTCTCAAGTACAGTATGATCAAGAGTATTCTTGATGTCATATTGTACCACGACGTGTTCCTTGAAGATGTGTTTCACGGCAGACACCACGTACTCGGTTTCGCTTTCTGTAAGTTCAACCACAGCACTCGATTTCAGCACTGGCCCATATGCTGCCAGCTCGGGTATCCTGGAGAAAATCTGGGTATATTTCTGCGCGGCTGCGGCACCAGCAGCGGGTCCTTCTGCGGCTCCGTTCACCTTCGGTTTCGCAGGTCCTGTACTTGGTGCCTTCAATGTAGGCGTGGCGGTATTGAGTTTCTTTGTCCGTTCTTCCGCCAAAGCTTGTTCGTGCGATACCACTGGAACGGATTGAATGTCGAATGCTTTAGCAAAAACTGACTTGTCGTCGGATGTCACGTACATGACCAGTTTGTGCTCAAAGGTCGACAGCGAGAACATCGAGTCGTTTTTGATGAAGCGGTCTGCAATGTCGTCCTCTTCCTGCATCAGCCGCAGGTTAAGCGCCGCCCTATCGCGCACCTCGTCATCTGTATCGTCTAAACATCTCGTCAACAAGACCTCGACACTCTTTTTGACCTCAGGGTCCTTCTGTCCCACACCGAATTTTGCTAGTGCGGTCACCGCTGCTGCGCGGACCAGTGCGTTCTCCAGCACGACTCGATTGTAGATATACCGGATATATTTGGTGGGTTGCGGCGTCTTTGGGCCTTCGACGCCAATAAGGTGTAGAATCCGTACCGCCAACTTGGTAAACTCGCAATCTTCGATGAACTCGCACAAGTGTGAGAGTGTCTCTTCCTTGCTCCCCGGAACAAATTTGATCAGATCAAACATGCTCTCCACTACGGCACGTTTGAATTCGTAACCTCCCTCGTCTCGCAGGATACCGCTCAGGAATGTGAGCATGCCGGCCTGTTTGCTGGGGAATTTCATGCAGAGTGTTCGGATAGCCTCGACAATGGTGATCTTAAACTCGTCTGTGATCTCGGTCATGAAACCGGATATTTGCTTCATAAGCCGATCTACACTAGCCTCGTTGCCAGTCTTGAGTAAAGTTGTGATTGCAAATGTCGCGATTGACCGATTGCTGTTGGAAATCAAAGCCTCGATATCTGGGTTTGCTGAGTGGACGGCTTGAGGTTTGAACGAGGCAAATGAATGGAGAATGCGGATGGCGGCGAATTTCGTGACCGCCCTCGGAGAGGTTAAGAAGGATTGCAGGACGTCGATAGCTTGTGCGGCTTCGGCGTCGGTCACATCGGGCATGTTACAGATTGCCTTTGCAGCTTCGAACTTGACCATCTCGCTCTTGTGCCGCAGCCAGGCGTCCAACATCTGCATCATAGGTTTCCGTAGACTGGGATCCTCTTCGGCGAGGCGGGTTGCAAGCCGTACCAACATCATGACCCCCGCGGGACTCTTGACTGCTCCCGCAGCGCCGTATTGTTGTACCATCTTGACGAGAGCCATGCGATCGTGCGACCGCATCTGATATAGCAGACCAATTGCGTGATATTGGTTCATGTAATTCGTGTTTGACGCGGCCAGAGAATGTTGGGAGCCACCTCCGAAACTCAGAAATCCTCCACTAGCTTTGGAAGAGGAAGCGGCCTCCTGAGTCTCACTCTGCCACCGCCTGACTACATCCCTGGCGATGGGAAGTAGATGGTACGATGAGACCAAGGCTGCCGACGAGACAGCGGGTGACTTGTCGACAATAGCGGTTTTGATTAACCTTTCAATGCCCTGAACAGTTGTTGCGTCGATAATCCTGCAGAGAGCCCGGATAGCATTTGCTTTGTAGATGATCTCACTCCCCACGGTCATGTCCTTCATAATGATGCTCGTAGACATAATGACATCCTCAGCAGTATGTGCTAACTCTTTCAATATCAAGTAGACCATTTGTCGCAGTGAGGGGTCCTTGTTCTGAAATAACTTGGAAATCCCAAAGAAGAGAGTGGTTGCTTCGTTCGTGGGGAATTTCTCCCCCGTGAAAAGGAGGACCGCGATCTTGGTGAGTAGGGTGCGGCATTTTCGAGGTGATATAGGTGAGGAATTGAACAGTCGAGCTAGAGTATCGTGGGTTAATGTTTGCAATTGGGATGTTGGTTGATGACAGGCAGACGCAAGGGTGAAATACCATCTTGGAAAACAGAAGTTCGGTCCAGCTTGAAGCCGGAGTGTTCGGCATCCTCGTCCTTTTTGGCGTAACTCATGTTGGGCAATAACAACACGTACTCGTTCAATTGATGGTAGCGAGAGATTAACAATGACAGGGATGCCCCCTTGGGTAGGGAGAAGCTGGGACGTGTGTCTGTATGGGACTACCGCACAATCATTTCGCACAATCAAAATCTTAAGAGTGAAGTGAAGGAGAGGTAAGGGAATGGTGAGCCTGACAATTGAAGGGAGGGTGCTGGCGTTGTGCCAATACTATCGAGACGTCGTTTCCGACGTGGGCTGGAGTTGTCGACGGTGTCCTCGTCCATTGCCAATAATTTGTGCGGAGTGCCTGCGGCAGCCACAACTGGTCGCCACACTGTGGCTGATGCGCGTTGGTGCTTCACGCCACTGGAAGATCGCTGATGAGGATCGAAAACCCAAGGGTCGAGTATTATTTCCTCCCACTGCTCTTCGTCAGCAAACTCCTCACTTCATTCTAACCACATAGTGCTGTTGTACAACCGTCAGAATCACAATGGATATGCCAGTAAACGTCCCTGTCGATGACCCAAACGCAGATACAGAATGGTTCGTTGCTAATCTCGTCTCTTACCTGTGCTTCCTCTCTCCCAGTGCAGCTAATATGCTTCTGTGACACATAAAGGAACGACATTCTTCGCAAACATGGTATCATTCCCGAGAAAGAACCAGATCCAGAACCCATTATCCAAGAAGCTTTGCTCGAGGCTGTGAAAAAGGCCCACGAGAATCGACTTGAGGACAAGGATTTGGACGAACTCCATGATCTCGAAGACGAGGAAGATGAAGCGTTTCTCGAATCCTACCGCCGAAAGCGCCTGGCCGAAATCCAAAGCTTGCAGAAGAAGTCTCTCTACGGCCAAGTCTTTCCGCTCCAAAAGCCAGATTACGCGCGTGATGTTACGGAAGAATCGTCAAAGGCATTTGTTCTGGTCAATTTGACCGCGTCACTAGGCACCAATGTTGAGTCACGGGTCCTGTCTGAGATTTGGAGACAGGCTGCGAGAAAGTTTGGGGATGTCAAGTTCTGTGAGATTCGCGCCGATCTGTGCATTGAGGGTTATCCGGAGAAGAACACACCGACCATTCTTGTGTACAAAGACGGTGACATCAAGCGCCAAATTATCACTTTGGGGCAGCTCAACGGCGTGAGAACGAACTTGAAAGACCTTGAACGACTCCTTGTTGATGTTGGCGCGGTCACAGAGAATGACATGCGGCTCAGACAAAAGGACGATGAAGATGAGAATGACGAGAACAATCAAGTCAATGACGACGACGATGATTGGGACTGATGCAATAATGATTCTTCTTATTGATTTGCGGTCTTCGTCCGCAGCGGTGCCGACGACTATGAACATGGCTGGGGCCAAGGGGTAAAGGCGACGCAGGCACTTCTACGACAGCTCAACGCCGTTCATCCTTTCGAGAGTTAGGAGCCATCCCTCCCAAAATCAACACTCTCGCAACAATTACCAGGCACGGTTGCCTTGGCTCGCATGGCAGCCTTTCAAGACTGCAACGCCTACGAGGCTGGAACATCCGGTCAGGCGATCGCGGGCATGAGACAGACACTGGTGGTGCCCAATGATGAAACACGATTTGCCAAAGGTGGACGATGCCGCTACGAGTCGCTGGTGCCACTCAGATAAGACAAGAACTCCCCCGATTCTGAAGCCCAGTTTCTGAGGAACTCTGAAGCGTGCAATCGTTGTCTGGTTGGCCGTGACTAATGACTTGTGTCCTGCATGATATACCCAAGAGGGCGGCTTGGCTACACGAAGCCATGAGGCTCGCGCAACTCGGGAAATCAGATCCAACCGAGAGAATAGGTCTCTCTGTCCGAGATCGTCATGTGTCCACGGAAAGAAGCAGCCTTGGAGCAGGTACGCGGCAGGGTCCTAACCTCATGTATATTTGTGTCACTGGTGACGCCTGTGGGCTGTAGGGTTTCAGCTGACATAAAGTGTCCAAGGTCCATTTGTCAGAAAAGATGCGATCCACCTGAGCAGAGGGCTGGAAAAGCGTTGGCTCCAGAGCTGCATGCCGAGAGTGCGGCGGGGGATTGGAGCATTTCTCGTGTCAAGGGTCCTCGCCACCCATGAAAAGTGGCCATGTACGCAGGTTCAGCTTTCGATGGTAATAATATCGTCCCTTCTGCGCAGGGACGGTTGATCAATTGCACAAATCACTCCAACAGAATTCCTCCAAATGCTTTGCGCCTCGCTTGAGGTCATAGGTAACCAATAATACTCCGAGGCGCCAACGCTTGATCATAGAAGGTTCAAATAAATGTGGTGAGGAGATCGTGAGGAGGGGCATCATCACCTGTGGTGCAGCAAGCGACAAGAGTCTTTATATCAGCTCGTCACGCCCTCCGGCAACGGCACTTTCAGCAATCGCTTGCCGGACGTCACTCTCGAGGAAGATTGGCCCTTGGCCGTCACATCTTGCCATCTTTTTTAAACGCTCACAGACATCGCCAACATCAACAAGCCCTTTGCGGAAGAGTTCGTGAGCTTGTATGTAGTCCCATGTAGCGCCAGCCCCGAGCAAGGGTTCCCCAGTGTCGTTGTCCACCGTGATGGTTCTCAAGGTGCCAAAGTGCGCGTATTTGGAGCCGATGTCGAAGGACGAACCACTGGAACTAGCCGGCGAGCGGTCTTTCAAATGTCGATCAGTGGGGACGTACCCCAACGGGCCTACTAACTCGTCTGGCTCTTCCATAAAGGGAGTCGGACCATTCGATGCCGCACCAGATGTAGCACGAAGAATCTCATTCTCGGTTGCAATTTTTGCGAGCTCGCGCCGCAGCCGCTCGTTCTCGCCGTTCAGGGTCATGGACTGATGTTGCAGGCTTGTCAGCTTGGCCTCGAGGTCCTTCACGTGCTTCTCTTTTCGCTCTCGAAACGCTCGTTGGCTGAGGTTCACTGTTAGAATCATATTACTCCCTCGGAGATCTAGATTTCAGTGGTCTTACGCAGCTCTGTTTTGTGCCTTCCTGCGACTCTGCTGAGGGGTCAAGGTATCCTTCTCTTCGCTGCTACTTCTTGCTACTGTCGGTTCATCGGGCGTCATATCTGCTGCGGGTGCAGTGAGACTGGACATATCGACCTCTGGCATGGATACCATCGAGTCATGGCGGCCTTGGACCGACGGGGATTGGGTGGATGCTTGATGAGGTTGGGCGAGGAAAGTAGCAGGGTCATAGTGGAAGCTTTGTTGAAATGCCGCGAAGGCAGCGTCATATTGATCCTACAGTACGATTAGCCGCCTTCGTTAGAGGCCCCGTGTGCCAGAAGCAACTCACGGTGGAAGGAGCGGTTCTGAACTCGTCCAGATGACTCGTTTGCGTGGTAGAGGGCGTGTGAGGCAAACCAAAAAACTGATACGGTTGCGGGGCTGAAGTGAAGTACGAGAAATCCATGATACGGCTGGGTTCTCAAGGACTGCGAATGTAGAATTGATATCGGAGTCTCGAATCTTTCTGCACCGTTTCCGCAGTTACGTCCTTTCTCTTGCTGTCTTGTAGGTCGCTGAACCAGACTCTCGCGTAAACAGCCGTGGAGATAAGATTCCGATATTCTCTGAGAAAAGGCGACTAGGTCAAATCAACGACCGACTATCTGCACATGCGGGAGGTCGCAATGGCGACGCCTGTACAGCAAGATTGAATGCAACAGCAGAGTGGCAATAATGATACGCAGGCGTTCCCACGTGGAAGATAGGACAAGGACCGGAGAGTCGCAGTTGGAGGTGTGTCAACGAACCGTCGGTAGGGGATGCATCGTGCGGGTTCGGGGAATCGTGGGTGGGCAGGTGAGAAGTATGTAACAAGGATCAATCTTCCAAAGTCGGCGGGGTTGGGAACAGCTGAAGAGAGCTTCGTGGCTTCTTGTAGCCCAACTTTGCTCTCTACGGGGATGTCGTATGTGTGAGTTGTCTTTCAGGAGACGATATGGGGAGAATAAAGTCGCAATGGGATTGGGAATTGAGGAGAAAGGAGACCGTTGTGAAACTGACGACGAGGTCGAAGGATTTTGAGGGCGATCGCGCAAGGGAATCTGCAGGGCAAGCCTTGACTCTTGGAGGACATCTGTGGCCTCCGGATTGGCGGTGTTGCACAATGGGAGATGCCCGTGGCCGGGCATGGAGGGGCACCAGGGCAGCCTAGTGGCCTAGCACGCCTAGTAGACTTAATTAAAAGGCCCTGTCAAGGGCGCGAGCACGTTTTGGGTACCCGGTCTACCGTGTTGGCAGAACGGGGGAGCCATGGGAGCATGGTTTGAGCGGATCCCCCCTTGACGGGCCTCCTTGGGACCAATAATGGGCGCTGCCCTGCGGGCGACGACCGGTGGCAGCTGGTACCTTCTCGTACGTCCAACTTCCAGTCAGTCGCTCTGTCCCTCAGTCACTATTTCCACACATATGTACGTGTGCGCAAACATCCCAGACGTTATCGACCCACGAACCAGGGCACCTGGTAAGATCATTCAGGGATTCAAAAGAAAGGATCCCGACGTAGGATTGGAGTTAGAGGTGGTGTGCCCCTGGAAAAGACCACTGGAACCAGCGGCATACGAGTAGGCCTTTCAACAGTCTGGAGATATGCCCTCAGATGCCCAATGCGCCCGAGATGGGCGAGATGGACGGGCACGGGGCTCCCTCATCGCAACCTCCATTTCTGACTAAGGCAGTAATTTAGCCACGCCTCACAAGGTTCGGTGTGACCAGTGAAAAGAAGGTCTAGTAGACATTTGCGAGAGGAAACTAATCACCAGCGAAGATCAAAACATGTAGACGGGTGGTGCTAAGCTGGCTCTGCTCCTCGTACTCGTCCCTCTTCTCCTCTCAACCCACCACCAACCAAACGCCACTTCTGCACCTAACACAACATCTGCCGCCCAACTAAAGATGATCGAATGAAGAGACCAGGGGCACCCAAGGGGGGTTTGCACACTTGTGACTCAGCAAAAGTCCAGAGGCCGACTGGGTGCCGATTGATGGGATCCCCTGCTACGGTGTTTGTTGCCAGCCACCAAGCTACGAGTACCGAGTAAAGTACCGGGTACGGCGATCCCTTGTTGCCAATATCTCGAGTCACCAGAGTATATCAGTGGATCCCCAGCAGAAGGAGGATATAATCTCATGTGCTCATTCTTGTATGCGCTGGTTTCATTGTCGCGCGTTCCTGGTCACCTTGACTGCGGCAAGGGCAATACGAGGTACATACAAGTACAACGGGTACAGACCGTGAACCAAGTCCCACCTTCCGAGAGCGTTTTCGTCACAGAACTAACTGATAGAATACGATGTATCGCAATCCACTGCGACCGGATCCTTTCAGCCAACGGCAGTTGAAATTTGCCAGTAAGCACTTTCTTTTCTCGGATCGTCTTCCTAGGCTTATTGCAGGCGGAAACAGAGGGGCTCCGAGGGGCCTCAGGGTGCCACTCCATCCGTAAGGCATGGAGGACAAGAGATCGGTTCGAGAACCACCGTCCCAATTACTTACCCCTTGTAAGCGAGGGGGATTACGGACCAGAATCTGGGGGCGAAACAACGTGGAAAGCGGGACAGCCAGACGCTGAGGGACATTTACAGACGTGTGTAAGCTTTTGTCTGACAAAGTGCGAGGAGGCAGAAGGCACTGGAAGGCCGTGAAGGCCATACCACTGGTGTTCGTCGTCATCCCGTTGTCTTTTTTCCTTTTTCCCCCTTCAGCCGGCCAAAACCAAGGCATGTCATCATTAGAGAACTTCGCCAGTCCCTCTCGAAAGCACCGTGTCCCTTCCGATATTCCAGCAAAGGAATTCCGACCTCCGAGCATCCCCGAACCTCCCCAGGACTCCGACTAATATCACTTTTGTTGGTCTCTGCCCCCGCTAAGCATTCAAGATGGCTGGGTTCACAAAGGAACAATACCCCGGAACCAATTGACTTCTTCCCACTGGGTGTTTCTTAACAAGTCCAGCCAGAATGCTTACTGGTAGGCTGCAACAAGCCCCGGACCGTTGGCTGATGACAAGGGATATTGTACTCTAGTGGATGATCATCCATCCATCCGTCAAAATGCGTGGCTTGAGGCAAGTGAGGCTTCTGTCTTCGTTCAATCAGCACTTATCATCTCGCTCAATAATAGACAAAGTGAAACTCGGCCCCGAGATACGGAGAACGAAACTTGTCGGTTGGATATCATGCGGGGAGAGTCCGCCGATGTTGAGATATATCTTGTGACTGGAAATTTGCGCAATTGGTTCCCCTTGTGCTTCTTGACCTGCTGGTCTTCTACGTGTCTTCCTTAGAACCCTACCCCTTACTCTTACCTAAGGTATCAATGTGAGAATGAGGGGAAAAAAAACAGTTACGATTTCACCTTCGAAGCCCTGCAGCCTGGGACCTGCGGTCTGGTGTAACGCAACGCCATTGACATCATTTGTAGCTGCGGGGTCAGCTTTGACTTCTGGCTTCTGCGTTGGTCGGGATGCTAGGGCTGCTGGGAAGGATATTGTTGGTGGTTTCTTTGGATATTTTGGTATCACCTGACAAGAACAAGCTGGACAGATATGCACTGTTCGAATGGCATGCCACTTGATTTGCTTATAATGGTAAAAACCCGCGCCCGCCCCTCAGTGAACCCTGGTGGAGAAGCGCTTGGTCATCCATACAACTGCAGGCTAAACCTCTAGTCTGCGTCGACTGGATCCCAGTCTGTCACCAAGTATTCGTCTAGACCGTCCATTGTCTGCATGTCGTCGCTGGATATCTCAAAGTGGCCAACATTGCCATTTGCCTTGATCCGGTCTCGCGATACGCTTTTGGGCAGTGGAATATAGCCGTGTTGGAGACTCCACCTGACCATGAGTTGCGCTGGAGTGCATTTGTACTTCTTGGACAGCGATACGATAGTTGGGTGCTCCATGCGTAGGGCTCTTGCAAGAGGAGCGTAGGCCTCGACCAGGATTTGATACCTGCGACATGTTTCGACGATGGATGTCCGCGTGTTGAATGCTAAATTCGCCACTTCTGTCAGTAACGTTTCCTCTGTCGCCTGTCCGTCCAGGTTGCACCGGCAACGTTCGCCTTCTTAGAAATGGAATAAGATTGACTCACGGTGGACCTCGATCTGGTTGACGCAGGGCATAATGCGTGGCTTCGCCGCGACGAGTTCATCCAAATGCTTGGTCCCAAAGTTGCTGACCCCTCCAAGCTTGATCTCGCCGTCCTGGATGGCATCCTCGACAGCTCTCCAACTTGAGAGACGGGCGGTTTTCCCGCCGTAAGGGCTGTGAAGAAGGAACAGATCAATATACCCTAGACCACTTGCTTCCACTGATTGTCTGATCGAGCGACGAGCAGCGTCATAGTTGGTGTTGGTCGCTAGTTTAGAGGTGAAGAATATGTCCTCTCGGGTCAGCCCCGCGGTGTTGCTGGACTTGTCATTGAGAAAGGATAAAATAGCCTGACCGCAGGCTCGTTCATTTCCGTACATCTGCGCACTGTCGACCCCGCGATAGCCCGCTTCGAGAGCCCATTTGACCGCCTGCGAGGCTTCTCGGTTGGACATCAAGTACACACCCAAGTGTATCTGAGGAATAGACAGGCCATTAGGGAGAGGGAGGCGAGTGGAGAGCAAGAAGCTGTTGGGCGCCATTGATGTTGCTGTGTTGGGTCGTGTTGTGGTGGGTTTTATTGTTTCCTTCTCTTTCTCTTGCAAATCGGACAACAAGTAAGGATGTCAGCCCTCGTGGCTCGTGGGCGGAATCCATTGCCGACACGGAGATTACTTTAGGTGAATTGCTGGAAGAGGATAATGTGATTCGTCTCGAATGCCGGAGAGTTGGTCCTGCGAGTAGTGGGAGAAGCCGTGGGGGCCCGTGGTCCTTGAAGCTAGTCGAGGCTCTTGTGTTAAGTCCCCGCCCGCCACACAAGTTGCAACAACCCTAAGTTGCAACACCTCTCAATTGCTCAACTACCACTATCGTCTATCTGAAAAACGTATATAAACGCCTCGATTGGGTTATTAGAGATGCCATTCCTACTATTTATAGATTGCCTAGTCCTTCGCGTCGTTATCGCCGTCGCTGCTAATGTTACCAATGCCTCCTCTATGCTAGCAAAGGCCTCGTTAGCATTAATTACCTAGCCTTTTTACCTTCTAGCCTTCGATCGAACTAGTTGAGCCTTAAGGCTAGCGATTTACCTATCCTTTTCGATCATAGACATGTGTAAACGGTCGAGTTCCTGAGCGGTCTTTCCTAGGAAGTTACGGAAGGGCCTCGAGAGCGATTCCTATCGCGTCACCTTATAGATAGAATCACTATAGTTTCGCCTATTGCTCGGCGATAGGTAGAGGCTACTATCGAGAAGTTTTCGCTTACGAGAAGGTAGCGTTCGTAGTGTTATTTAATGTTGAGTTATTGCATTGAACGCGTGTTGTAAGTTGGGCTTGTTGCAACTTGTGTGGCGGGGACTAACGCCCACTCCAACCTCCCGACCAACACACGCCAATTACTCTCAATCCTCGATGCGCACCATCTTCTCTCTTGCCGCAGTTTCATCTTCTTGATAGCACAACCTTACTCAACCTGGAGAATAAGAGGATTTTCACTGCTGCCACTCTGTCTGCACTCCACCATCCCTCACGGTCCGATCCACTGCCTTGAGAACTCCATCGTTCAAAAATTCTAGCAACCCGGAGCGGAGGTCTGTCCCCCTCCCCAGCTGGTTCTTGGGCGTCTTCACCGCTCCCCCATTTCCGCATGTCAACACCCTGTGGTCTCGGCACGTAGCATGGAAGCATAGTTCCGTCGAACCTGTCAACACTCTCTTTGTCTAATATGTCCACGCTGGATTTCTCATGATGCACTCATTGGACACACTTGAACTTGAGCCTGATGCGCCTTCATCAACGACTTATTGCGGGTAGGAGACTTGCATGCCTCTCTTTACCTTTCCAGAGCGCCCTCAGTTTTGACGGCGCATTTGGCATAATTCCTGGGGGCTGCTAAGCCCACTATGGCGTTCTCATCGTCTTCATCCGAAAGTAACTTCAGTGCACCGAGATCTATCCGTGATGCAGCGTTTACTGGCATCAGTAGCCCTTCGGATTCTGGAAGCCAGAGCAGACGCGGAGGACCAACAGGAGGATTCCAGTTCGATATTATCACATGGTTTCCCAAATACCAAAGCTGCCAGCGATATTTTATAGATCATGCTCAACACGAGCCACTTGTTCAGCAATTTGCATCTTTCATCAACATTCTACTGCCGTTTCAGCGCCAGCCGCACCCGGTCTACAGCACATCCGGCTCCCGCAGTGGGAAATCGCGGCTAGATAGAGATCCGGCGAGGCCTTCTGCGTCCGAAGCAGCAGCCGCCGCCTCTGCCGTGTCCCTGATCCCGTACCTGCGGCGTCTTGTGGTCACAGGTATGGACGTGCCCCAAGTCCTGCATGGCTTTTTCGGTGACGACTGGCGAGCGGGCATTGGACCACAACGAGAGCAAGAAAGACGAAACTACTTGTTCGCTGCCAAAAGTGGCGGGTGGGCATCGGTCAAAAGAGACTATGACATGCTCCCTTTGGAGACGGTCCCCTTCATGCGGCCGCTCTACGACCCTACCGATGCGGAGCTTGATGCAGCCGAGAGGGGCTGGAGTGAATGGTTAGCTCTCGAAGATTGGATGGTGGGCTCGCGGGCGCCAGATGACGATGGAAATGAAATCGCTTAGGGAGCGGACACCATGACCATGGCGTCCGAAATATCCACTAAATTGGTGACACGGGCTTAACAAGTTTACAAGATGCATATCCAGCGTGCAGGGGGGAGATATCCCAACAGTCATGAAGGCCCAAGTGTGGCATTCATAATAGCGTTCCTTTGTTTGCAGCGTCGTCCTTTGTGGCCTGATGGACAGAAATTGGCCTCGGAAAAGGGCGGCCTCCCAGTGTTGCCTCAGCCTCGTCAACCATTTTGTTATTTTAGCGCAAGGCTGCAGCCGTGTTGGTCCGAGCGCGCATGTTTGATCACAGAACCTGATAAAACTCCGTCTATCATTCCTTTCCTTTGCCATGATCCTTCCCAGTCAGCGTATTTGGCTGCTATAGCCTCTTGTGATCCATCTCGCCGTGATCCCATTCTCTTGTGCCGCTCACTCGCGCAGGCATAAATTGTGGTTGCTCTTACCGCAACATGATTCGCCACCCTCTTCACCTCAGCCGATCTACAGTCACGATTTTCATATAGAAGTGACACAAGTCCTCAGGTCTCACCGTGATCAAGCATAAGATGGCGAGTAACGCTCACATGTTGCTGGACCCTCAGTCGATAATGAAGATGTCCAAGGCGCCAGGTGAGTGTGAAATCCTGTCCCTTGTTGTCGCAATCCCGCCATGATCCTTTGACTACCACTGAGTTTTCTTGTGGAAGATGCTGATAAAGCCACAATTGATGGTTTCGGCGCTCCTGAGTTAAGCGAAACAAATACTCAAGAAGTATCGTGGCAGGTTGTCAAGCGCGAGGACTCAGATAAAGGCTCAACCCAAAGTTTTGTTGGACCAGTGATGAACTGACACTTCTTCATACTCATCAGGACGTTCGGGCAGCCTTGCATCCCGCGGCGATCATTCCCCCTCCGAAGGATCACAATCTCCGCAGAGAGCAGGCTCAACATCGCGCTCAATGTCTCCTCGGCATTCGCTAAACAACCTTTCCAAGCTATCCAACACATTTGATCACAGAGCTCTTCTTGACCCTCAGAAATCGCGTCAATCTCTCAAATCGGTGACGTCTGCTTCAAATTTAATGGGCCCTTCTTCGTCCAAAGGAGAAACTGGTCACACAGATGGGGCCAAAAAATCCATGCTGGAAACCTTTTATGGTGTCGAAGATCGGATGAGCAACCCTCGCAAAAAGGTGAAATTGAGTGCCCAGGACCAGCGCGAGAGACCGCCAAAGACGGGGATTTCCTCACAACGTCGTGGCACCGGCATCGTCGGCGAATACATGCGACCAGATCCTGACCAGGCCCCAGAAGTGACAAAGAAGAGTCTGGTCGATCTCACAAACGAGGAAGAGGACGTGGACGACGATGATGTACAAATAGTTTCTTCTCGATCGCTCGACGATCAAGAGGTATGCTATGGCCACATCGCGACCGTCGCACAAGCCTTCCTCGTCCCAAAGCCAAAGCTGGCCGGAAATGCCTTTCACCAGAAACAAGAGTGGCCCGTCATGAGGTGTACCCTCGTCCGCAAACCATCCAAGGACATGGTGATTGACGTTCAAGATGCGTGGGACACCACATTTGCAAAAGTTCACCCCGACTTTGCTGCTGTGCTTGTACAGGCCATGGATACCCTGAAGGGTTTTCGGACACAAGCGAAATTGATCAATCGGCGCAAAAAGCCGGATGAATGGCCGCACCAAGCTTGTTCCGAGCAGATCAAGATGATTGTTAACCTCTATGGCCGACGTGGAGATGTCAATAGGGTCGGTCGGCTTTTTGGCAATAACAACTTCTGGCTCCGCCCGCCAATGACTTCGGAACCCGGCATACCCATCGTCCACCCACATGCACAGCATAAGCCACTGTTCCAAGCTCCGCGGATGACCGGCCAAACGAGGACTTTGTCAGATACACGCACTCTCGAGGAAGCTACAGAAGCAGTCTCAAGGCTCTTTGATTCATTCGCCAATGCAAGTCGGCCGCTGACTGAGACCGTTCCTCCGCCGTCTATCATTACAACACCTCTGCTTGGTCACCAGAAACAGGCTCTCACATTTCTTCTGCGACAAGAGCAGCCGCGTACATTCGGAGGTGATGAAGCAGAGAATTCCTCGCTCTGGCGGCGGAAACAACGCAGAAATGGAGATGTTGCGTATCATGAAGTTGTTACCGGCCTGACTGTCAAGGACGAACCCGACCAAGTACTTGGGGGCCTTCTTGCAGATGTTATGGGTCTGGGAAAGACGCTGGAGGCCCTATCACTCATCGCAAGTACCTTTGGAGAAGCGGAATCCTTTGCCAACGAGAAAGTAGTTCGTGATAATCAGGATATGCAGCACATCATACTGTCGAACACCAAGGCGACGTTGATCGTCTGTCCAACCAGCACAGTGAAGAACTGGGAGGATCAGATTGCACAACACATCAAGCCTGGGACCATGGAATACCACGTCTATCATGGCCCCAACCGCGAGAAGAATCCGTACAAGTTACTGAAGTACGAAATGATCATCACGACATACGGTGTAGTGGCGTCTGAGTTCTCCAAGGCTGCTACAGCAGTGAGCCCATTGAGACAGCTGAAATGGTTCAGGATAGTGCTGGATGAAGCGCACACTATTCGAGAACAGAAAGCTCTCCAGTCCCAGGCCTGCTATAGCTTGGACGCGCAACGACGCTGGTGCTTGACAGGAACACCTATCCAAAATCGCCTGGATGACCTTGGATCTCTGACCAGATTCCTGCGCATGTATCCGTACGACACTCCCGGTCGATTTAACCAGTACATTCGAGGCCCAGCTCAAGCAGGCGATCCGGCCTTTTTGAAGGCATTGCGTGTCTTTGTGGACTCATTCACCCTTCGTCGACTTCGAGACCGGATTGATCTCCCGGAGAGAAAAGACTACGTTGCCAAACTGTCGTTTTCAGACGAAGAGAGAAAGCTGCACGACTTTTTCAAAGGTATTGCTCACGTCCAAATCGAACAGCTCAGCCGTGCGAAGGAGAAGAACAGCGGTGTTCAGCATCACGTACTTCGTGGCATCATGACCTTACGGCTAATCTGCGCCCATGGCCGAGAGTTGCTGAAGGAGAAAGATTTGACATTGCTGAGAGGGGTTAGCCCTGCAAATGCGATTGACGTCGACGAAGATACCCCGCCGCCGAACATATCACGAAAAGCCGCCTATGAGTCGTTAAACTTGAGGACTGAAGCTGAGCTAGACGTGTGCCGAAGCTGTGAACGGAGCATAACCAAGGATATAGTCAAGACCGAGGTGGACGACGAAGAGCAGGCGTTGCGATGCTTCATCCTCCCTTGCTTCGACCTCGTTTGCGCCGACTGTTTCAGCCCAGCGAAGGCATCGTTCGATAGCATACCAGACAAGGAAGCCGTTACCTGTCCATTCTGTTCCGCCCGGATCGCTGCGCAGTACGTTGGATTTAGTGGATCCACGGCGCAAGAGATTCTCGTGGCGCCGGACGACACCATTGCCGAAGAAGAAGAAGAGGACCATGTGCAGATATATCACGGACCCCATACTAAGACGAAAGCACTTTTGGCGGACCTTGAGCAAATGTATCAAGAGAGTCGAGAGTTGGAGACCGCTGGAGAGGCTCCTCTGAAATGCGTTGTCTTCTCGGAATTCACGTCGCACCTGGATCTTATCGAGCGGGCATTAATAGATCACGGCTACACTTTTGTGAGGATCGATGGCACGATGTCCCTTAATAGCCGCAAAAAGTCACTGGATGCTCTCGCATCGGACGACAACATCAGGATTCTCTTGGCATCGATCAAGGCCGCTGGACAAGGGTTAAACTTGACAGCTGCATCACGCGCGTTCATCATGGAGCCGATGTGGAATCCTGCAGCGGAGGCACAGGCGGTGGATCGAATCTATCGCATTGGACAGAAGCGGCCCGTTGTGGTCAAACGTTACCAAATGGACAACAGCATTGAGGGCAAGATCGTGGAATTGCAGAAACGAAAGCAGCAGTTGGCCGACGTGTCGGTGAACCAAAACTACAAACAGCTGAGCAAGCAGGAGGTACGAGAACAGCATATGAAGGAGATTCTGGCACTGTTCAAGTGATTGACGGGCAGCGTTCGTGGCGCCGCATCTTGGAGGAGTTGGAAGTATTAACGCAGTTGCACACGGAACCGTGTCACACAATCTGGATGATGGGGTTGCCATCGAGCGGGAAAAGGGAGACTTTTGAGAAAAATCAGGGCATAGACATTGGTGACATGGTGAATTCGAATCGGCTGGCAATCTGGTATGCAAGAAGAAAACTGCTATTGACAAGCAGGTTTTAAAGCAGCTACGAAGACGAACGAGAGATGTACCAAGGCAGCATTTACTGCATAGAAGCATGAGTTCAATGATGGTTATGAGATTGATCTTTGAATTTGGAGTATTACTTTAAACCAGCTCTGTATGCTAGCACGTGGACGAGGCACGAGTTCTGGATAGAGCAGTTAGAGGGACTGATAAAGTGGAACAAGCTTAGCACGAGAGCCTAGCCCCGGCGTTTCGCGCTGAGATTACGAGTGCACGGGGGCAGTAGTCCATCAAAGTGCCCAGACAGCACCCAGGTAGGTGCCCCTAAGTCGATTAACTAGCCCGGAGTGGTTGGCGCGGGGAGTAGGCGAGGGTTCCCAGTGCTTGGGTCAGGAAATCTGTTGAATCGCCAGCCATCCCAGTGGCGGTCCGGGCCCGGGTGTCAGGGCCACAGCCTATCACAGCCCCATAGATCCGCCAACTTAATGAATATTGGACGCCGCTGACGATCGTGGATGTCCCGAGAACAGGTTCCTGGCCAGATTCCAACCACCTAACCACGATCAGGCAGTGGGCCGGGCTTGCAAAGTGGGATGCAACAACGGCCACCGACGCCGCCGGCTGCCAATTCCCATCAAGAATTCGATTGCGCCGATCGTCATCACTGCCAAACAGAGCGCATCTGTGCGACTTGGAAATTTTCTGTTCCTTTCATTCATT